CTTGAAAAGTTAAAGATTGCTGTTGACTACCCACTAAACCTGTAAGCGCAGTTGTTCCCAGAAATTCAGAACAATAATTTAAGTAATAAAAAATGGACATTCAAGAACTTGAGAATGAAATCAGCGAATTACGCAAAAAACTTAACGAAAAGGAACAGGAACTTCACCAAATAAAAAAGGTAGAATTTTAGAAAGATACCATTCAAACCATTTCAGAATCAATTTTTAAACATCTTCTTTTGGAAATTTTCAGACCATCTGTAATGTAGAAGAGTTGTCTACCCAAAAGATTTTATCAAATGAAGAAATAGCTAGATATAGTAGACAAATCATCATGCCGCAAATAAGAGTGGAAGGTACAGAATTTTAATTCAATAAATATATAATCACAATATGCTTAATTACTATTTTGTGAGTATTTTTCAGGATATTCTTTTCAGTGATCTATTATTTCAAAATTTGTATTCAAGATACTGTATCAAAATCATAGCAGGTTGTGTGACAGTTGTAAAGCATTGGTTTAATTGATAGTTAAGAAAACAAACAAAAAAACATTATAAATAAAAAAATCAGTTGATAGATTTAACATGTATCAGGGTTTTTTTTTTCACGAAACAATATTGAATGATCATATTTTATGTGATAAATTATGACCATTGCCATAAATTATAAAATAATGTATTTTATTAATAACCTGAATATCAGGAGAATTCCACCTTTATCGTAAGAGCAAAGTAATCTCATTGATTAAAATTAGTGTTCCATTATCCAATGTTTAAATCAAAAATCCATAATTGTTTGCAAGTTAATTAGTATATGCACAAGAACTTGATGTAAGATTTTATCAAATTAAGAAATAGCTTAATACAGTAGACAAATCATCATGCTGCAAATATGAGTGGTTAAGGAGATGAATCATTGTAAACACTATCTTTTTACCTGTCCTACAAAGACTATAAACAAAATGGCCATGCTAACATAAATTCTATCTTAAGATTGAATATTTGTTTATTTTGTATTACCTCTTACCTTAAAAATAACCCCCCTTTTTTCAATTCTGAGGTGTTTTTTTAAATATAAGGGTGCATCAACATCTAGGTCATTAATAACCACTATTGCATTTAATGATATTGTAACTGTGAAAATGACATGATATGGTGATGATTGAGGGTGAAATGATGAACATTAATACAACCATGCTCAATACAGGACTCAAACCTGCAATCTTTTGGTCTGAGATCTCTACGGCACTACTGCCTTAAGAACTTGGTCATTCGAACCAGCTGTTGTAATGTCTTCTTCCAAACTGAGAAGTTTTGAAATTTAGTAAAATTATCACTAAATAACCTTTAAGAAGGACATTAAAGATGGGGTTCCTCTGTCAAATTTCTAACCTACAACTGCCCATACCTTTCTGTTGCTGTCACTACTACAAAAAGAACATATAGGAGAATGTTGATCAATGTAGTGTTTCTTAGGCTGACTTGTCCAACACATGAGACTTATTTTTTCTCTCCTGCCTCTATAGCACATGTAATCTATATGTATACCAGACCTCTTCAAGGATTATAACAGCTCTGTGGCTATCACTGATTAATTTCAATGGATTATATTAATCTAGTAGAATGGAAAATAAACTTCCTAGTTAAAAAATTGAAGTAAACAAGTCAATTTATTAGTTTTGTTATATAATGTGAAATAAAAGTGTTCTAAATTTCCTCAACATAATTGTCTATTCATTCTCTTTTATCTTCTGATATCTTTAAACTAATTTTTCAGACGAAACTACTTGGAATTCATGGAAAAGGTCACAAGGACTAATTTAGCTGAGTCCGTCTGAAGTTAACTTGTGTTTGTGTTGTCATGCAGATATTTATGTTTGTTCTGCTAATTTTTGTATTCTCATGTTTGAAGTTTTTATACTGATAGAGAATTTTGTTTCAGGACAGATTGCTCTAAAGAAAGCAAGTGTTCTTATTGTTGGAGCTGGAGGACTGGGATGCCCATGTGGCTTGTATCTGGCTGGTGCTGGTATAGGTATTCATCAAATATTGATATTTTATTTTTCCCATGATATTTGAATGTAGAATTCAGTAGCAGGACCCAATTGAGCATTCGTCAATTTGTGTATCATTGTTTAAAAAGTGAAAATAGCTTCTTATTGGAACTCAGCTTTGAACTACCATCCTCTGAACTGCGTTACTGCATTTTAGGCCCAGTATTGTGCAGGAGTCAACACTCTAATATTGCTAAGCAAGAGATTTACTTACTGAAAACATCAAAAAGTTATGTCAGTTTCATTATAAAAAATTTCTGTGACTAGTCATTCTATTTAATTTTTCATATTTATCATTACATTCTGCTCATCTCTGAATAGATGCAATTTTAAGCAAATTGTCACTGAAAACGTTTGAGTTTTCAAGAACTTTTGGAACAAATCGTTTGAAGTACTTGTACTCAAAAATTCAATAATGTATAAAAAAATGTCCATAGTATAAACATTAACATATTATAAAAAAATAAAATTTGTGTAATTTAATTTAACACATTTATTTTCTCATATAAATGTGTGTATAGGGAATTATATGTGTAGTATAGAGAAAGTTATGTAATACTGCGGAAAATGGTTTTTGAAATTTCAAAAGAAATACATGTTTTGAGGTCTCTTGATAATGAAAAAAATTGTTGTTTTCTTATTTTCAAAACATGGGTCCGTCCGTGAACATCTCTAGTGCCTAAACCATTCAGTAGAGTTAAATACACATATAAAGATGGCATAAGTTTGTTTTTCAATGTTAACTTTCAATATTTGAAAATTGCAAAAGTTTGAAATTTATTTGACATGTTCCTACAACTACAAAATTAAAGGTAGAGAATTTTCCTGCAAATGAATTTTGTTCTCCATTATTGGCTCCTCCTTTAGGATCCCACCAATGTTTTGAAAAATGTAGTAGCTTTCACACAAAATTAAGCCTTCACGTTTTCAAAATTTTTTGAGAAATGGTTCCTAATATTTAAAATTAATTTTTTTCCTGAAAGAACAAAGTACATGCAAAACTCATTTTCATTTAACTTTCATTTGCGCACGTTGCAAAAGTTCAGTACATTTTGGCATCTTCCTACAACTATAATATTGAAGATAAAGATTTTTTCTATATTGAAATCTGTACTTCAGAGATAGAGCTTTAAATAAGGTCACATAAATTTTTTTGCAAACATTGAGTCACATAATTTTGCATAAAATAGAAGCAATTTAGATTTTTTTTTTTTTTGGTCAAATAGTGTTAAGTTGCTTATAAAGCTGGGTGCAGGTCTACAAGCTAATGCAAGAAAGTGTAGGCTATTATAGCACCACTAGTTTGTATGTATATTAACTTTATTGCAATCAGAGAAACTTGTGTTACGTAATGTCATCAATTTTACCACCTAGAAGAAGCCATTGCGGTTACTACATTGTCAGTTCAAATGCCTTTAGATTTAATACCAGGCCTTGTAATTGAATGTTTTGACAGATTGGGCAAACCATAAACAGATGTGCAAATCAGTAATTTTTTAATGGAAAATTTTAAAAAGATTTTGATTTACTAAGTTTAGATTCTTATAAGCATGCTTAATAGTAAAGAGGTAAGAGATGAATTTATTTTTATTTTACTATAATTAATGAATTTCATCATCAATTTTGTTTTATAAAGGTCATATTGGAATAGTCGATTATGATGAGGTTGAATTAAATAATTTACATCGACAACTTCTCCATTCAGAAAATGATATTGGGAAAGTGAAAGTAAATTCTGCCAAGGAAGCATTAAACAGGTAATTTTAATAATAATTTATGGATTAAGTGTTAGAACAGATAAGTATGACTTTCTTATATTTCAACAACAACAACAAAATTAACTTATTTCCCTATCTCCTCAATTTTTTTGACACTTGAACTGTTTTGTTTCAGATTGAACAGTAATATTCAAGTGACTCCATATCACATACAATTAAATAGTGAAAACACTCTTGGCATTATGAAGCAATATGATGTAGTAGTTGATGCAACAGACAACGTAGCTACTCGATACTTATTAAATGATGCTTGTGTATTGTTACAAAAACCTCTTGTATCAGGAAGTGCATTGCAGTGGGATGGTCAGTTGACAGTGTATAATTTCAACAATGGACCTTGTTATCGCTGTGTATTTCCCAATCCACCACCTCCTGGAAGTGTTACTAATTGTGGCGATGGAGGAGTGTTAGGTGTCGGTAAGAATATTTATTTATTATTAATTTTGTAAATTTAATTGTCATTCTAAGGAATCTGTTTGTAGTTCCAGGTGTTATTGGAGTCCTTCAAGCACTAGAAACTATCAAAATCATTTTAAAACTACCTGAAGTTCTTTCCAGTAAATGGTTAATATTTGATGGCTCCGACTGTACTTTTCGTAATTTTAAATTAAGAGAAAAAAATTCAGCATGTGATGTTTGTGGCAAAGAGCCATCTATTAAAACATTGATTGATTATGAACAGTTCTGTGGAGCAAGAGCTAATGATAAGGTGTGTATGAGAATAAGTGTATGGATAAAAATATTTATGAAAATTTAATTAAACATTCCTTTGATCTGTTTTATTTCTTTAAATCAAGTTTTTAAATTTTTGCTTTTTTAAAACCTTGCCTCTAAAATTATTATTCTCCCTTCAACAATGATTTTATGACTTTCAGGATTTGAGGTTACAATTATTAAAGGATATAGAAAGAATCTCAGCCAAAGAGTTTCACTCTCTTAAAGGAAAGATTTCTCATGTTTTAATTGATGTAAGGAAACCTACAGAATTTGAGATATGTCACATTCCAGACTCCATAAACATACCATTAGCTAATTTAACCAAAGCAACAACAGTACAAGATATAAAAAAAGTCATTCAGGAAGGAAAACTGAGCAGTGATGAATTTTCAGGTATAATTTTAGCAGAGATAATAAACAAGTTCAACTTATCAATTATTTCAGGCTTTATTCTTGTTTGATTTTTATTAATTTTAATTTTTCCTTGGAAGTTTTCACAGTTTGTCGAAGAGGAAATGACTCACAAAGAGCTGTTACAAAACTAAGAGAAGTTCTAGATGATGACAATGTAGAGATAAAGGACATTATTGGTGGTCTTCACGCATGGAACAAAAATGTTGATCCTACCTTTCCTGTGTATTAAATATATTCGACATTTCAATTTTCCATTTTTGATTTTAAGATTATTTCAAAAGTTAAAATAGATGGTAAAAGACATCTATAAGTTTGATGCATTTATGTATCCCTTTTGCTCTGAATAGATTCTTTTTACTTTTAAAACATTTTTGTTATGTACCAGCTGTTGATAATTTTTATTTAGTGGCAAATGTAGCTATGTTATGACAAATACTGACATGAATGCAATTTACTTATTCATACTTGTAAATATCAATTGTTCTAAGTATGAGGTACACAACTTTAGAAATGTTTCCTAAAGAAGTATAGTTCTATATGAAGAGAAAATTTGCATAAATGTACTGAATAGTGCTGGAAAGGTAAAATTAACTTTTGCGAGCCAAACATTTCAATCAAGGTTGGCTCAGAGTTGCAAGAATTAAAAACCTTGTTTAATTTTTACAAATATTGTATTTTCTTTGTCGATAAATTGATTTCTGAATGACATATTACAATTATTTAACTTTATGACAAATACTGTAATAGTTCTTATTTTTTTAGTTGCTTCAGTGAGAATCATCAGGTGTATATCATACACTTTGTTTAAAAGCAATTATGATGAGTATGTTAATAAATGTAACATTTTGTGAAAACTCACTTTATAATTATGAGAATTTATAGAGAGCAATTACAATATTGTCAATCAAAATAGATATGCGAGTATCTTGGGTATATTCATAACAATTAAAGGTTGTATAATGATTCTCTAGTTCAGCGATTCAAAAATTCATTACAGAAACAGATACACATAATGTTTAAAGCATTTTGATTAGATTTAATGTTCTCACAATCAGAAGTCACACCACCGTCAGTACTACGTTTTTAATGTTCATATTACCGTTAGTTACTAAGAGGGTGGATCACACATTTCCTCGCTAGAGTATTACAAGTATTTTAGAATGCCTATTCCTTATTTTCTTGTTTGTAATGCACTGTTGATAAATTTCGCAATCTTTCTGCTGCTTGTTCTGGTGTTAAATCTCTCTGGGCTTGAGCTAATAATTCGTACCTGGAAAAGGAAACAGAATTTTGAAGGTAATCCACATTAGTATTCATTTTGGAGTATACTTTTGGAGGCTCCTTATGGATATAATTTTAAATAATTTGAAGAGTGGTCTGCATGACTTGAGTCCATCTTGTTTTATTGTCTTTCTGAATTTTAGATGTCTCAAGAAGAACATTACCATTTTTGTCTGAATCCTCTGTTGTTTTGCTTAAACGTAATAGTTTTAACAAAATTAATTAGAATTAGAAATATATTTCTTACCCGACCATAAACTTTTTAACAGTAGCAGAGCGAAGTAGTGGAGGATAATATATTCCATGAAATACCCAATGATTTGCATCTTCTTTCATTTTTGAGCCGGTTGGTGCACCTGATTAAATAAGGGATCAAGTGTTATGAATATCAAAATTATTAAAGTGATTAATTGTCAATCTAAAAAATGTTGATGCATTTGAAATTAAAGATTTAGCAGTTTTTTAATAGAACACTTTATGAAAGTCTCAACTTACCATGCCATCCCATGCTGTAAGGAAATGAAACTCTAAACAAATTGTCATACTTTGTAGTAATTTTTTTTATTATATCAGCAAGACTATCTTTGTGAATATTTTTAAGATCAGTGAATCTCTTAAAGTGCTCTTTTGGAAGAATCATGGTTTCAAACGGCCAAGTAGCCCAAAATGGAACAACCACTGCCCAATGACAATTTTCTACAACTATCCGTTCCTGGAAAAAAAGAAGAAGAAAGAAAAAAATCTCTTTACATTCCACTTTTTTATTTTGATGGTGAATGTTTTCTGTTGTTATTCTTTACACTCTTTTTGGGAATAATCTTTTGAGTTAACCAGTATTGAACTTCTTTAATTACAACTAAATAAACTTCAGTATTGAATCAATAAAAATTTCTGCAGTAAATACAAATGCAATACAAACATTATTTCCCATACTATCATCATCATCATCATCATTAACTGTGAGGGTATAGAATAATTTGTCTGTTCCTATTCTTCCAATAATCCCCTAGTCACTGTAAAGAAGTTATTGGTCTTCAGATCTCCTTTTTGGTCAGCATCTTTCTCTTTCATTTCTTAGTCTATACTTTAGTACCTGTTTTGGTGGCCTGTTAGTTTCATCCTTTTTATATACACTTCATATACACTAGATCTCCAGACATTAGTTATATTTTTAGGTTTCTTTTTTAGAATCTAATTCTGGAATTTAATCATTAATGGTTTTTACATTAAGAAATCATCCTTAAACTAATTTTTTTATGTTTAGAATTATTTTAAAAAGTGTCCCCAATTATAAGCTAACACTTTCATCAGTATAAAATTGATTCTGGAGAGAATTAATCACCAAATTTAGAAGAAGCTTATTGCATTAGCATAAAACATACAAAATATTTATTCTATAATAAATGTGCAACTTTAAGTATGTTTGCAAATTATTCAGAAGCATTTGTTGCGGATTCTGTCATAATGCCATGGGCCGGTCCACTAGTCGTATGCATGATATTGCATTCGCACATCTGACGAGGAAGAGGGAAGGGATCTATTAGTTCCGATGCTATGTGATTCCTTTGTTCATCAGAATAAGTTTTCTTTTCCTCAGTTTCCTCACTAGAACTCTCGGGCGATTTGGAAGATATTGCGCTATCTTGAGGGTCATGGAGATTATATCCATCACTATCTGATATTTCACTTTCATTTGCAGTAGAGGCATATTCATCAAGACATCTTCTATTTCCTGTTTGCAAAGCGGTTTTCACGCTGCTGTGGACTCTGTGAAAGTGTCAAGTTCAACCAAACAATGCGATGTGAAAGAATCAAACTCAAATGCAACTAAGCCTAAGCGTACACATTCAAACAATACCAGGTGCATACTAAACAAAAATTATGATTTACAAATCATTTTGCAGAGATACATTCCCACAAACAAAAGGGAAAGGATATGAACTACAAAAATAATTACATATTGGTAATGGAATAAATAGGGGGATGGGATCAGAGTGTCCTCATGGTTGTAACTCCGTTTTATTTTTGTCAAAAGTCTTCAAATCAGCATTTAAAAATAGTGAAAGTAAAAAAATATTATTTTTTATAATAAGTAAGACTGTAATAAAAGGTGCCACGAAAGCTCAGATCTAGGAGAGAAAACATTGTAGAACACACACACTTAGTGGGGACAGATTTGAACCCATGTTTGCATCCAAGGGTTAATACACCCTCCACCCTATAATGCGCGCTAGAATCAACCCAAGTAATAATGTAAAGCTTGCATCAACATACTCCATTTGCAATAAGTAAAAATAAATTATACAACAGTACAAATTTGTATTAATTTTATTTGCATTAAATAAAATTTATGATAACTAAAAGTCTGTTTGCTGCACCTAATAATTAGAGTAAGAGCAATTTTTTAATGAAGGATAGATAATCTTTTAGGCAAGATAATTTTTATCACAAACCAGGTACTTGCTGTCGTGAATGACTCATAAGTGGGCTCAATTTAATTAGATTCTCAAATACAGAAGAGATTTATTGTAACAATTTTTAGAAAAACTTTTTAATTTTTTAAAATAGTTTTTACATTCAACTTTTTAATATTTTAAAGTTTTATCGTTCTAGTTTGAGATTGAATAAATTGAATTATTTTAGCAAATGGTGGGTAAGGGGGGAGGGGGGGGGAAATACAGATTTATGTAACACTATACCCCCTACCCCTGCTTAAGGCTGCTTCCAACCTCCTCCTCCTGTTTAGCACTAGGTAATTTATGGCCGACCCCTTATTTAACTCAATTTGTAATTACTAATTTGTATCCTCCAACAACTTTTATTAAGTTATTAATTTTATTTTTCTAAATAATTTATAAATCGGATTAAATACCATGATTTTTGCAGCCTCTTACCTTTTTGTTTATTTCTTTCTTCACGTAATCCATCAATAATGGCTGATTATATTTTTGAAAGTATTCACGTTGATATTGGTCTTTAATTCGTGCTTCATTGGGCAAGAAAGATGACGACCAAATCTGACAGTGAGGATGTGGATTGGAACAACCCATCATTGATCCTTTGTTTTCAAATATTTGCACCCAATCAAATTTTTCACTTAGTGTTTGCATCTCCTCAATCCACCTACATTAAAGCACACTGTAAAAATCTTTGGTTTTGTAGATCAAGATGTGGTGTTTATAACTTACCTATCAATAACAGTTCGTATTTCTTGCAAAGTCATAACTGGTAAGGTGACATTAGATTTTGGGTGGAAGCACAATACTCTACAATTCCCTTTGGCAGAACCCATTTGAAAAAGAGGATCATCACTCTCGGAGGGACTTGGTACATCATCCAGTAATGCAGGGAAGTCATTTGGAAATACAAATGTTGATTCATACTTGGGATTGACCTAGGAGAAATAATATAAATGAAATAATATTCCCCTCATTTAGGGGACACTTTCTTTTCAAGATAATGTCTTAAACAAAAAGAAAAAAGCTAACTTTTTTATTTTTTTCCCCCAATGGTATAGTTTACTTTCAAGATTAAGCATATTCCCTTTTAATTCTTTATTTACGAGTATATCGTAACGGCATTTTGGATCGAAATTAAACATCCATGCCCAGTTCCAAGGGATCCCTGGTATATTGATTTAATTAAATTTGAAAATTAATAGACAATGGAAAGAAAGAAAAACGTGAATGTTAATTTCGTCAAAAAATTAAAATCCGCCCAGTTCAGTATCTGGAGGTGTACACGGTTTTTAAAATGACTATTCCTTCTAATCTAAATAGGGCCGTCAGAACACTACTAATCAATCCTCATTAAAATCGAACAGTTTCTGTTTGTTGTGACATTCAAATAGAAACGTTCCAATAAACCATACTTCTCCTGATGCTCGTTTGACCCCCGGACATAGGGGATTTTGGGGGTCAAATTCTGGTACGTCATCTTCCGTGACGTCTTCCACTTGTCCGCTCCACGGTCGCTTCATGCGATGCGGAGAGACAAGGATCCATTCTCCTTTGAGAGGGTTGTATCTGATGTGCTGATGATCTGTTAGAAATAATAGTTGCTGTGTTTTGTTAAAAACTAGGTACCATTTATTTCCTCCTTGCCATCCATCTTGACTTTCAACATACCCTCAGCTCTGAAATCCATTATGTTGGCTTCAGCCAACCTTCTACAGTGCAGCTGGAAGTTAACTGAAACAAAACGACTCTTATCAGAACATTGCACTGTACAAGATAATTAACCACATTATCTGAAGGGCTGTGTTCAAGGACATTGTGTTTCATGGGACACGTTAGTTTCATCGTGGTTGGTTTGAGTACTTTCTGGGGAGGATTATACCTACATAATGTGCTTTGTTCGCTGCGATGGACCAGTTGTCTATAGTGTTGCTTTCATTATTTTCAATTGCAGCATGAACTCTCTATGTACAAAATCTTTTCTTTATATGACGGTTTGATAATTCAGTTTTGACATTTAAATGTATTGTGGCTTTTGACGCAGGTTGGAGTGGTAGGCTATATAGCCTAATAATTCGTGGGAACATTGGAAAAAAATATACTTCGATTATTGCAAATGAAACCAATGTACCCTATGTTATTCCTGAACACCATTGTCCCCTTCCCCTAAAGAGTTCATTTTGGAATTAAATGACGTGACAGTACTAAGCAAAGATGAAAACTATTTCTATTAAAAGAAATAGGAAGTGCACGTACGATTCGATCATGTTCTAATTGTCCATTTAGACAAAATAAATGCATTTCTGATGCATGGTCGCAGATTTTGTGTCATTTTCTAATCAACCCACAAAAATTTCACATTGATCTACATGGTTGAATTTTACTTGCAGGTACCTCTAATTGCAAAAAAATATATTTTCAGAAACTAAGATTTTTATCAAGGAATGAAATTTGAGCAAGAACTTTGCTAAAATTTAAACATAGAGGTGACTGGATACCCCCATTAACCGAAAAGTGGACGCTATACGCACCTCAACTGATTTTACCGAGTCAAGGAAGATGTACAAAATGGTTTGTGGCAATCCTGTGGCATTCAGGTTTTGCTGATCATCGCTGTCCAGCAACATCACGGCGACCAGTGTTTAGTTCTGGTTTAGGTGTTTGGTTTGGAGGTGTGAGTCTGAGAACACCAGAACGCCAGTGTACGCAATTCAGTCAAAATGGCACGCGGGAGTAGTGCTGGGTTTGATAGACATATTACTATATTTTCGCCGGAAGGCCGTTTGTACCAAGTTGGTATGTACTTCGTGCCTTTTGTTTATATGTCCTTTCGGTTTTGATTTCTAATTCAGTTTTATGGTATCCACTAGCTGATTTTTTAAGGTGACAATACCATGACTCAACTTTTTGAACGGCCCTAACCTTTAACGTGATTAAATGTCGTTTTTGTTAATGTTCGATTGAGTAATAAATTTGTGGGTTATTTGTCTTATTTCGTTTATTCTGCATTATTGTTAGGAAATAAAGTTTTTTGTGCAAATTGATTTCTTCTGCGGTATTAGTCACTTTTCAGTGGATTAGTTAATTTAAACAATAAATTTAATCATTTTTTGGGAGTTAAATTATGAAATCAAAGCCATATATGACATTTTTATCCTCAATTTCATGCTTTTTTATTTTTTTTTTATTTTTAATGTAAAAGCTCAATATTTTAATGATGTAAATATTCAGTGGAATAGAGGGCAAATTGCCAATTCCATGGAAATTGTAAATTGATAATTTACTTTTTTATTTTTCCTGCTAATTATTATTGTTTTGAATTACAGAGTATGCATTTAAAGCTATCAACCAAGGTGGATTAACATCTGTTGCTTTGAAAGGAGCTGATTCAGCTGTTGTTGCTACACAGAAAAAAGTTCCAGTATGTCTTACTTCTTTCTTACCTTATTAGGAGGGTTTTTGTAATATAAATAAGAATGTTATAGAAATATATTATAAGAATACACGATAAATCTAATATAATTATTTTATATTTTTGTTCGTTTTATCAGCAATATTTACTTATATTAAAGACAGGAATATCAGAGTATAAATCCATTTTGAAAGTGGCAGTGTGAAAGTTAGTGTTTGTATAATAATTTAATTATGGCTAGTTGAATATTTTTCCCAGGATGTATGATTGGCAGAATTATGGTAAACACTTATTGAAGTAAAGAAAGAACATTCGGAGAACTTCTGTCAACATTTTGAGATACTAGTAAAATCTCCTTTTTTAATGAATTTCGATTTTCAAAAATCCTATATTTTTCATCTGTGAATAGGAGTGTTCCTTTCTGTGTTCATTCTGTTCTTTACTGTTTCTGTAGATAACTATTTACCACTGTTCTGATTGTTGTAAATAAATCATGGACAAACACTGTAAATAAATTTATATTTGCAGATGACAAACTAAAATATATAAATATTAGAGATGCTCATGGCTTTGTTTATCTGACACCATGTTGAAAAAGTGACTTGTCAAAGGTCCTTTGATTTGAAGGTTGTCCCCAGGGGTAAACCTCTGCATGATGACCTTGGTACATAAATTTTTGAACACATTTTCCAGTCTCTTTTACTTTCTCATGTAATAATAATAGTAGAATAATGCACACAATCATGCATATGTGGTTAGTTCTATTTTTGCACACTTAGTTTTGTCCATGACATAGTCATTTAAGAGTATCTCTTTAAGTCGATATATTGTTTACCATTGACCACAGAGGTTGCACATGCAGTTTTCATTTGGTTCATGAAACGGTTTTGTTGCACACTATTTATAGTGAAACCCATGCACTGCAAATAGTTTCTTGATGTCTCAGTTCTTTATTTGGGCCCGGCCAATTTCAATTGGTCATAGCGGGCATGCTGTAGAAGCCTTCCCAGATTAGGTTGCGTTTTTGTCTTCTTTCTTTCATAATCTGGGGTGGATATATATTGAATTTGCAAATCTTCTGTGAAGGAGGTTTATTTCACCAGTTCATAGGCTAGTCTTGAGGAAGTGAATCTTGAAAATGATTGTATTTGCTTCAAAAATGTTGCCTTTACATTTTCCCATAGTTTTAGATCCTTTTTATTTAGTTTTCCCAGAAAACCTCAATCCAGTATACCAGTTAGGGAATGATCTTGCATTGCTTAATTTAGGAAAAACGCGTATAAGGTTTTATTATTTTCCTGCATGGCTCTTAATGGCTGCAAGCAGTTCTGCTCTTAACATGAGTACTGAAATAGGAAAGAGAACTCAAAAGATATCTGAATGACCACAATTCTAATATGTTCTATTCAGTTTTAAAATATATTTATTTTGTGCTTGGATTCTAAAGATCATTGTGATAATCTTTTCACTGTTTATCATCAATTCATTTTCAGCAGCCCATGTGTTCAAGCCATTGGCACATTCTTGTAATGAGTCAATGCTCTTTGCAGTAATTACATCTGCATATGGATTTACTTTCTCCTATGCCTTGTTGAGGGAAAGTTACATAACACTGCAATAGAATGATTTCAAGAGAAATACACATTTTTGGTGGTTCTTGATTCCCAAAAAATGTTTTGTTCTGAAATGAACAACTGAACAGTATTCATGTTCAAACATACACAGGATTTTCTTAAAAAGGGCTGAAGCTGAGGCTGTGCAAATTTGAAAGGAATCCTTATTATTTACTTTACATGGAGTCCTGAGGATATTTTCTTTAAAAAATTGTTTCTTCATATTCCATGCAGCATAGATCTGATTTTTAATGAAACATCTGAAATTTCAAGAGTTTTATTGGTGGTGATTGAGTGGATCCTTGCTTGAATATGTAGCAAATTACTTCCTCTAAAAGATTGTGTCGTGACCCGGGGACCCATGTTTATGGGTCCATAATCCCGAAAAATTGGTTTGTGGGAAAATCTATATCTGTGGACAACACTAGTGCCTCACCATTCATAGGAATTTCCCCAAATTAAATATTCTTAAATAAACCTTGCTGATGTTGTGGCCCCTTGAATTTGAAACATATTTTGATTCTGGAGGTACCTAGCAAAGCCTCTATGGTGTTTTCCAAATTTTCTCACAAATTATTTCAATTTTGTTTCTGCTACGGAGCAAAGCACACTATTGAAGATGTTTCTTCTAAATGAAAGCTGTTGTTCCAGCTGTTACCTGTTTAAATGAAGCTGTATACATGTTTTTTTGTTTTTTTAATGAATAGTTTTCCCAAAATTATAGTGAAATAAAGGCATTTTTACCAAGATTCTCTCAAAAATGGCTTCATTTTTTATCTAGATAGTCCTAACTAAATGCTCTGAATAATATAACCTTACTTTGATGTATTCTTTTGTTTTGTTTTTTTCAAAATTTACACAAAAATAAGTTTTTTTTATCTCTCTTAGGTTGTTAATTTTTATATGGTAGTTTTTTTATTGCATCCATGAATGTAAGGATATATATATATATTGGATACTTGGCTGTCCGAGATGAGCTGCGTCTCAGTTGGTCGAGCTGACATTCTGGCCATCGTGTTATGGCCTTCTTCAGCAGTATAGATCTGAAGAAAGCCAATACGTCAGTTCAATCAACTGAGACGCAGCTCATCCCAGGCAGCGAAGTATCCAAATATTAGTGTTGTTCCTAAGATTGGTGCTGGGAGATATATGCAACTTGGTACATGAAAATTAAGATGGATGTTTTGAAAATTGCAAAAGTTTCAATTATTTTTTAGCATATCCTTCACTTCCATTTTTAAAGTCGGAGATTTCTTTCTCAAACTAAAAGGAAAAAATTCAGTATGCCTACTAGTTTTTCTTGAATGCAAAGAACTCTCGGAACTCTCATTAGATTTTTGTTTATGTTATTTGTAATTGCAGGACAAGCTGCTTGATGCATCAACTGTTACTCATCTTTTCAAGTTAACTGAAAGTATAGGATGTGTTATGACTGGGATGATAGGTAATTACCTCCTTGATTTATTTTTGTAAATTGTTGGATTGAATATGACTTAAGACTTGTAATTGGAAACAGCTGACAGCAAGTCTCAGGTGCAGAGAGCTCGTTATGAAGCAGCAAGTTTTAGATACAAACATGGTTATGACATACCAGTTGACATGCTCTGTCGGCGAATTGCTGATATTTCTCAAGTTTACACTCAGAATGCAGAGATGAGACCTCTTGGGTGCAGTAAGTATTCAGATTTATTTAGTCTTCTAATTTAGTTGTCCTGTAGCAAATTTTCCTCAGTTACCCATTTTGAAAGATTTATTGGTTGTTGAAAGGGGCGGGGGACTGTATAATTTTTTTAAAATGGAGAAGTTTACTCCAACATCTAGAAGTCAGTTGTTCTTTAATTTTTTGTAAGGTGTTTTAGAAGTAAGAAAGAATATTGTAATGATAACAAGTTAGTATTTCTCATTTTCTTTTGTAGTTTTGTTAAATTTTCTTGGAATTTGGGTCATTGATGAGAATCTGCCATGGAGTTTAAAATAATACAAGTACCGTTATTTTTCTGCAATCTCCAAATCATCAGTAAAAATCATAAAAAGCAAGAGAGCATGATGATGTTTAGGGGAATAGGGAAATCTCGTAATGAGAATCCATTCAGTTCTTATTGTATTACTCTTACAGCAGACCTATTTGTGGTTGAGCACAATTTAGTGTGTTCAGTATAATATTAACTTTAAAATTTGCAATTTTGAAATCTATGGAGTAGCCTTAAAAGAAGAAATTAACAAGATAAGTTGAATGTTTAAATATTTAGGGGTTGCAAATAACTTTTTCCAATAATAATTTGTTGCTACTTAAAATTCTTTTAATTGGCCCCTCAAAAAATGTATTTCTATGTAAATAGCCATGTTATTACCTCCAATAAATTATAGATACCTTATCATTATCATGTTATCTGATTATGGTGTTTTTGATATATATTTTTAATGTGTTATCTTTAAATCTAAAACAAATAATTCTTTGAATATTGGAGTTTTTCATTTGTTTGTTGTATCCTAAAATACATCCTCAACTGATAGTTTATCATCCATTACTAATAAATTAGCAAACTTTTTAACTAATATTACACTATTAGAATATTTCCTATTCTATTTACAAGAATTAACTTACAATTGTATTAATTCACTTATGCAAATAATTATTACATGTTATTTATTTTACAAATAAAATGGTTTAACTTTGATAAATTACTTACATAGGTATGGTATTGGTTGCATATGATAACGAGCGTGGGCCACGAGTTTATAAGGCAGATCCTGCAGGATATTTTTGTGGATATCGAGCAATTGGAGTTGGCTCTAAACAGACAGAAGCAAACAGTTATCTAGAAAAGAAACTCAAGAAGAAACAAGATTACAGTGCAGAAGAAGCTATTCAGGTAAGAGAATTTACACTTCTAAAATATATTTTTCATCACATCTTCAATTGAAATTGTGATGTATCTGAATAAACAAACAAAGGATGTACAGTCAACTCAGGATGTAGTGAACTTAAGTCACTGGACTTGATCCATTTACATTTCAAATATGCCCAAGAAGATTCGGATGTAGTGTACATAGTAAATACAACTTAAAAAAACAACACTTTTTCTGTACCGTGAATTCAAATAGGGTATTGCAATGGACGAGGGCACTTACTCCCAAGTTTTGTAGGCAGTGATGTAACATATGTGCGGGCAATGAGACCTTACCAGACTTGCCTCTTCCTGGCTTCTCAGTTCACCTGACAGCTCAGTAATATGGGGGTTGCAAGCACCAGAAGGCAGTACCATGTAGAACACAGTAAAACGCAGGAGACAATTTTAATTTAGGTTTAATACATTGTAGATGAGGTTGAGATATAGAATGATTAATCAGCTAATTAATGACTGTTGGATGCAGACATTTTAGGGCGCTGCTTGAAATCTAACGTACAGCTACGATGGACGCTCCTGCCCCGTAAGTCCCTTCTAACTCCTCAGGCCGCCGTCTATCATCGTTGAAATTGCAGCGGCCTCTGACTCTTCCTTTCGCCCGTTGCTCAGCGCCCTGCGCCCTGCGCCCTGCCTGGTCGTTCGGGGCCTTCGGAAGCGGCGATCCGTCGTTCATTGGCGCTCTGGTGGTGTAGTCTACGGAGTTTACTCACGACCCTGGCAATTTGTTGCTGCCTTTTTTGTTTTTACTGCGGAGCGGCCGGACTTCGCTGTGAAATTACTTGAAGACTACGCCAGCTCCATGATAAAATGATGTCTCTTCATCATAGCCAACACTCGCGCGAATTCTGGTTATTTCTCGGCACTATCTTGAATTCAGTGCGGGCCCCTAGCGTCACATCCCATTAGTGCTTCCGCAACTCTGCCTTATTTTAACCTTTCGAGCGGCAATGAGTCTCTTTCATTTCTTTTTTCTTTCTTCAATTTGTTGCGTCCTCGCAACACGTCTTGGAAGTAATCCTCCCAAGTTTCGTAATGTCGCAGTCAGTGCCTTTTTAACCTTCGCCCAGGGCACGGTGCCATTAAGTAACAGGGGGTTCCTAGACGGTCAATCGTCCAGGAATCCGTGGTGGCTCGATTTGTTTAGTTAGTGTTCGCCGGCATTCACCCCGGCGCGACGGTCGTTCACAGCCTAAATCCGAAGGCTTGGTTACCCGAGGCGGAGCGAAACGGGAACACGTCCGGTCCGTGTAATCCTCCCAGGATAGCGTGATCACGTCATGTGCAAGCAACTCTAGTCCTGTCTGATGTACTTTTTTTATTAATTTTTTAACGTGGCGTCGCAAGGTCACGCACGAAAAAGGGAGAGGGAAGACAGACCCCCAATAGGGAGCTGCAACGTCACTCCAGCTCCCACAGCAGCATAGCTCTGAAGAAGGCCACAACAAGATGGCCGAAACGTCAGCACAATTGACAGAGACGCGGCTCATCCCGGATAGCCAAGAATGCACTACAGCTCCCACTTTTACAGCCCCGTAAGGAGTCTGCATTCTTCTCAATTTTTCATACAAAACCTTGAGGCGTCGCCTCTTTTAGCCAAAAATGTGCGGGAAAATAACCTGAAGATGCTCATGAACTGGAGAGTTGATGTCTTTCTCCTCGAGCCTGCCTTCATAACTAATGAAGAAGAGCAAGCGGTTTGTTTGCCACCACTATTGTTCTAACTGCCGCAGCCACAGTCATTTTTGAGGTTATTGTGTTTGAATTAATACTACTTCATGAATAGCTGTGACATAACTTTGCCATTTTGATTTATCGTGTGTAGCCTGACAAAACGATTAGTAATTAAATTAAAAATGGCCTTACATTAAACCAAAATTACTGGGAGGTACACATTTCTTTTGATACCCCCTTAAATTTAACGTGGCATGCCCATGGAACCTTCGAACATTAATTTGGAAGTAAAATCAAACAACGTCAATTGTAAATGCATTATTTCTCGACACCGTGGCTCCATGGAAAGTACATTTCCAGTGATCATTCTAGTTTCTGTATTGAGACAATTGCGGATGAACTTGTGCACTTTCAATGACCCGCGAAATTAAACAAACAAAACGAAAGAAGTTGCAACTAGTTTCAGACGAAGGCAGAAAATTGGTATACCCTCCGGTCGCCGCGTCGGCGCGCCACCATGTTCGTTCTGCTACATAAACCGGTGGCTCGTTGCGGTTATGCAAACAACCATATTGAAGCATAATGATGAGGAAACACAGGAAAAGAGCTAAAGAGCGTGACATGGTGCACTAATTTGGGGAGCGCGAGAGAATCGTAGAGAGCTCGACTGGCCATCTTTGATTTCACAATGAACTCGTATACAATGATATTGCTGCAATATATTGAATATTAAATGTCATTAGTTGGAAAATGTATATTCCTAACACACAAAAATATTTTTATTATCTGGAGGGTTGTGCAACTAGCAAGAGACACCACTACTAACAACACAAAATTTTCAAAAGATGAAAAATTAATAATGTTTATAATCAATTGCATCAATACATAATGTGTATACACATACATATATCTATATATTTTTTTACTTAAAATTTAAAAATTACTTGCATATTTAAATCAAGAATGGGAAACTTGCCAAAAACACAGAAGTTAAACGTGTGTCACATTAACCCTTTGATGTAGAAGTGGGGTCGGTTGATGATGCAGTACCATCTATCATTATCCCTTTTGGTATTCTTCTATTGTAATGTAAAGAAAATTTTTTGTTTGATTTTCAATGAATTTGAGTTATTCGAAACTGAATTATAGCTCACTTTCCTTAAATATGCTTTCATCACAGAAGTAGGGCCTCAGGAGCCCAGCGGACACTATGTGATGTATACCCCTGCATCCCTTCTGTTCAGCGAAGTGCAGTGGGAGCCAAATTTTTGGAAATTTGAGACGCACATGTGTAGTTAACAATTATAATGTAACATCAGATAATATATTGAAATTCTGTCTGAGAGTGGTTTGCTATCTAAAATAGTGAGTACGCATTTTGCTTACTTTGCTGGAGGTGTTTGTGTTTTCAAACAATGATTTCACAAGAAGAAATAGAGCATATTCTGTATGAATCAGAATGGGTGATGTTAGTGAATTTATTTCAGATGATGATGATGATTCCAAATAGGAGCCTTTCCCATCTTCAAGATCCCATAGACAAGATGAAGAGTACAGTGGTACATGTTCATTCAAATCTGATTCCAATGAGAATCTGTGTACTTCATATTTAAGTTTGGAATTTATGATATCCCGAAATGGATTTCAATGGCACAGAAGTGTGCCACCCACTAGTAGATGTAGTTTACAAAATCTCCACCGCATCTCTCCTGGTGCTGGAAAAACATAATGATAAACACAGCACAAGAATCTTTCAGTTTGCTGATTTGTAAAGAAATGAAAGATGAAATAGTGTATTGTATAAACCGTGAAGCTGCACCGTAGCCGCTGTCTAGAATAAAACATGAGCAAACGTAACTTGGAAATATTCGGTGCCTTTCTTGCTATCATTTTATGTGCTGGAGTAAACAAATCTCGGATGTTCCTGCTAGAGAATAATTCATAAATCGTACAAGCAATCCCCAAAAATTTAATGCATTTTTCCTTTTCCTTTCAGGTGTTACATATATCCTAAAATTTATAGGAATGCCAAACATCATGATAAATATCAATGTCATGTTTGCTAAACACACAGTAGTGCTGTCACAATCTCTTTAATTGTGAATAAAATTGTAGAATATTGCAACAGTAAAGAGCACGTAATGTGTAACTGTATATTACTCTGAAATAAAAGTGGAAGAAACATAGATATATTGAAAACACGTACATTCCAGTACAAGTATGTGCCGGGCCTCCAAAGCCCTACTACTGTAAAGGTGTCTTTCTGTATCAGAGGGTTAACCTTCCACAATAGCAACTTGTGAAATGATTTTTTCATACAATTTGCCAATTGTCACTCATTTATCATACTAATAAACAAATCAAATAGTGAACAATAACGTTATTCCTAACAAGGACAGTGGTATGATTCTATTGAACATCCAATGTGTTGGAATTATGGACAGCTTGCACCCTAGTCTGTCGACACACAAATCCTTCCCTCTTTACTAATCCCGCCCTGGTGCGGTGACACAACACACGGTTAGCACACACGCCAAGCCACACACACTCTCCTCGATGGTCAGACACAGTACTGCTCGAGTCGAAGAGAGCACAGGACCGGCAGTCGATTGCTTGGCATATTAATAGGCACTCTTCTGATGGGATTGTATTGCCCTGTCTATAACTCCAGCACAATGCATGAATTGTCCTATATGGCTATGTGTGCCTTTATGCTGATAGGAACTCTAATTAGATGCAACCTATGGTATCACATACTGACACAGTATCAAGAGAGTACTGTAACAAGCTACTATTGACATCCATTGTCTTGGGAGCTGTGGTCGGGTCTGCTTGCCTTGCTGGTGGCACATGAGCTGCCAACAGGACAGCTGCATTTGGACCCTGGTGATTTCGACAGAGCTTCATACAGCGTGATACTCTCATATCATCCAAATCAAAAATAAAATTACAAATAGCATTAAACCTCTTGACGTATTTTTACTTTCATGGTTTGAGAAATAATTATGGTCTACATTGAAATATGGCAACAAAAAAAAAAGTCAAACAATTTTCGATTTCTGACCAAATTCCCTGACTTTGCAGAAAGTGGTCACCTTTTTGTATTGTAAAGTGTTAAGAAAGCATGATGATATGAACTTTTGAATTTGTGGCAATTGGGTATTTTTGTGTACTTTGAAATATAAAATGTCCTAGTTCTAAAACTAATATATTTTGCAATTATTGGAAATGGTGCACCCAAAAAAACAGTCCCCGGAGGTTCACTATAACGAGTTGATCATGTGTATTGAGTAAATAAGAAAAAAACTGTTGAGGTTTTATTGTTTGTTTTCTTTGAATGTTATAAGAAACATATCCTTTGATTTATGATGAAATTCCAAGAATTTTGACTCAGCTTGACAAGATATAAAACACATGGACATATAAGAACTGTTGTACTAATGTAAAACCATTGATGTTATTTCTAAATTTTCTAGAAAAAATTATTGTGGGTTATTGAAGAAGTGTTACAGTCCATAGTAATTTCCTATATTAGCAGGATAACTGAATGATAACTTTGTTATTAACGATTTTTTGCAGTTGGCTATTACTTGCTTGTCAACGGTGCTTTGCGTTGACTTCAAGCCTTCAGAAATAGAAGTTGGTGTTGTCACTAAAGATAATCCGAAGTTCAGGTAAATAATTTTTGTCTTTTCTCAAATTCTCTATAATTGTCCAGTGAATTATCCACTCTTAATAATTAAGTATTTGCTCCAAATACCAAGCATTTTCTTTTGAGACTTATTTTTTTTGTATGGTGCATGATGACCAAAGGTCATTTTTTAATTTTAAGAATTAAATATGTTTTATAAATTAATATATATACCAACATTTTCATCCAAATTTTGACTCAAAAATTACAGTATTTAGGATATTAAATTTATAAGGTATATCTATGCACGACAGAAACTTTAATGCTTAACATGAACTGTAAAGAAAGTGGGCTTTGATTTTTCTTTTATGAAATAATTTATAGTAATTGGGAATATTTATTTTGTAGTGTTTAAGCCCTAGCACCTCATGAATCTGAATGGCTTCTCAATTATTGATTTATTTTTTGTTCTGTAATAGAATCAAGTACATTTATCAACTAATGATACAACTGCACATACTTTCTTGCATTGTTTATTACTTTTGCAGTTCTCAAAAATTCAAAGTTCAATGAAAACAAGACCTTTTTAATTTTTATCTGCCCTTTCTTCTGAGCAAAAAATAAACAAATTGCAGCCACAGTTGAGTAAACTAATAAGATTTATGTGAAAAACCCGAACTCCCAGAAATCAAGACATGTTTGAAACTCGCAGGGCCTTGAGCTTTCTCCAATGGGGAACATCAACTTGGGGATAATTGGCAGAACAGAGATTTTGCCATAAAACAATTTTTTGGTGCCAGGAGACAAAACACGGGTACAGCCTACATATGTTAAAGGAGTTGGTTACTACATTTACAAACAAAAATTATTCACTTTTTTTTTAATATCAGTTTTCCCCACAATACTAATTTTTGTATTGAAAAATCAGTCTTTTGTTGCATTCCGGTAATTTCTCTTACTATGTGAATACATAGTATGGCAAAGGAATAAATTGTAGCTGGTCTGTTTTTCAGTAAAACCTTAAAAATTGCACAACTTCAACTTTGTTTTTGATCCATGTGGACTCTTGACATACCTGACCAGTCAGTAGTATGATGGATGAGAGCCATCGATAGTTACAAATGCACTCGTGGTAAAAAATGGCTGAGCCAATGCCAAATTCAAGTACGTCTCACTGGTCCCAGTGTCATGTAATAGGGTTGAAATATACAAAATTAGTGCGTGGGTTCTGTTGTATTTTTTGTAATGGTTAAGTAATACAAAAGACATGCTTCTGCATCACTAGTTTTTTAGGTTTTAGTTTTTCCCTTGTATTTCTGCCTCTTTGTATATTGCTGAGAAATTTTAGGTTGTAGTTTCTCCAACGATGTGTGTGATCCGAGTGCAAATTGGATTTGTGGTAGTTGCAATTCTATAACATCTAACAATTGAAAAACTTCTGTAATGAAAAAAAAATTCTTTTTTATACAGCTTCTCATGTCAGTCATCAGCCATGTAACAACAATTTGAAAGGTCAGAGTGGAGAACATTAAGGCTCCTTTTTGGGATGCCCTTTCTCCTTAATCTCTCTGGTTTCTAGATAATTCTAAATTTTTCTGAAACTTAAAATCATAACAAGATCTAAATAATTTTATTGTAATGAACACAAGATTTATTTCCAGTTAATCCAGACTCTAGTCTAAATATTTGAGTATACAATTTGTAGATGGTCACTGTTGTCTAATTGACACTTAATTGGTTAAACATGTTGATATAAATAAAATGGATGCCTTCCCTGTCTTGACTTAATGGCCAAAGCATTCATTGTCTAGGAAAGTGAGAATCCAGTTAGTCACAGCTCGATAATTTTTGTTAACTACAACTTGCAGCAGCCAACAGTAAAAATATAGTTCACACAATAAAACTCTAGCATGTATATTGACCTCCTTTGACTGTTAGGTCATTGGACTAATTACTAGTTAAATGTGTTGTAAACAAACTGTTTTCGTTTTTTAATTTAAATGCCTCATCTTTTCTGCTCCAAAACTTTGAAACTGCAAATGTGTCGTGTACACCCTACAGTACAGGTTAGTGGGGATAAGAGTTTCTGACCAGAATGTAGGGAATGAATCTAGAAGATAATAAAATGAGATGTTCAAGATACATTAGACCTTTTTATGTAAAATTTCCCAGTCACCATTTGTTAAGCTAGTTGCCAATGTTTGACAGGAAATTTATCCCATTTTGGCCGGTGAGGTTTTAAATATAACAATGTTGGATGTCTTTTCCTGAAAGAGATGAATGAACTTATCAGTCAGCTTCTGGGCATGTTGAAGTCATCTTTGCTTGTGTGCCATTTGTGCCCTCCTTTAGTGAAATGGCTGATGTATCAGTTTATTGAATTGAATATTACCCCCCTAAAGATTTTAGGAATAGTTTACAAATTGATTATCAAATTAGAGATTAAATTTTCACAATAGAATTTTTCTCCCCTTCCTATCCATTGTGACTCTTGTGTGCTCCTGGTCTAACAGAACCTACAAAGAGGGATCTATATTAGATCTTTACATTAATAAACAATTCCATAATTTTGAGTTATCCCTTTTTACACACACACACACACCTGCCAAATGAGTATACTAGAACATTGCTTTACTACAGTACTATCGTTGTGTATAGAGGGATAAGTGACTTTTCAATTTTCATTAAACTTGTGCCCACACAATGAGATAGTATCATAATAAAGCAATGTTCTGGCATACCCTTCTGCGGCATCATTTTGGGCAAAAACTAGAGTTAAACTCGAATGGGATGCAAGCATGTAAAAGGGGTTTATGAAATGCTAGTATGGCTCAGAGGTAAAGGTTTCTACGCTTCTAAGTATTACATTAAAATTTAACTCCATTGTTATGTATGATTGTTTCAGAATTTTGACAGAGCAAGAGGTTGACAGACATCTTACTGCAATTGCTGAAAAAGACTAAATTTAAAGTTTTGATTTTTGTTTATGAAAATACCAATGTAAGTTTCTTGGATTTATTAAAAAGTAATGATACATCTTACACATAAAAATTTGTTGCTTTATATACCCATTCATACAATCACTGAATTAATCATTTGCCAGCTGCAGTAGCTAGAGGATTTCGGAGCACTAAGATAACAGAATCGCCTCTCAAGAACATCTTCGATATGAATCTGTCCTTGTTGACAGGCTTGGCCTAGAAAGAAAGAAAAAATTAGTTACCAAATTTAATGTGAAGGACTTTTTTACTTAGAAAGGGTGCAAACCTTTTTTTTGCCTTTTCCTGTGCGAGGTAGTTCTGTCCACATCTCTTTCACATTTTCAAGAACCATGTTGCAATGCCTATCGAAGGCTTTCACACGTCCCAATAATTTTTTGTTGTTTCGGCAATTAATCAAAACCTGAAATAGAATTTTTGGTAAACTTAAATTAGGGAACTGATGTTTGAATTTGGATTAGTAACATTTAATAGTTTGGTTCACTCATGAATTATGACATCATTACACTGCCTGCTGTTGGTTACCTGAGTATTGTTTTTGACTGACTGTGTCAGCACAGATAATGGGCCAGTACTAAACTCTTCTTCTTCTCTCTTCGCTAATTCCTCAGGAGTCATCTCGGATTTTGGCTTATTCAAGAGAGACCTAAAATAAAATTAAGATGAGCAAAAAAAAAAAACATATCAAGACTTTGAGGTACAAAGAGTGCGCATATTCAGTGTGTTCATTTGATAGTATGCGAGACAGCATTAGCCGACTTAGTTAATTATGTGCCATCCCAAAGATTATGAGACATAAGATTGGGTGACCATCTAAAAATCCTGGGATCAAATGGCACTGGCCAATTGTCCTTTGCGGGGCATACAATGGGTAAATACCAACACAAAGATAGGAGAAAAAATTATCTTTGGCATCTTGACCTAGTATAATTATTTCCAGCATTAAAAAAACTGTTGTGGTGCTTCTATAAAATGTCTGTCTTTAAATTCATGTCCTACAAAGCTAGTTATTTTACTACTACTTAAATAGTGAAATAAATATTGTTTTTCAATGTTTATAATTTCCCCTGCAGATTTGGGGACTGTCAAATTTTGAAACAGTGTTCACTAAACAGTTTGTGGGGGCAAGGTATTAGGAAGGAAATGTGATATTACAAGGCAGACCCAACTTTGGCCAGTTCTGTGGATGGTAGAATTGATGTGCAGAACAAGTTTTTTCACGACTCAAACATGGTGTGACTTTGTCTTGTGCTGTCTTCTGTAGATTCTGAAACACCTTCAATATGTAGAAGACTAATCTGCAGAAAAGCCCATTGTTTGATAAAGTGAACAAAAGTTTGTAATGCTGCATGTTTGGACAAAAATGACAAGTATTCATGAGCAGATAGTACCATACAATTTTGAAAAGATTCTAGTGTCAAGTGGTAATGCACATAGACAGGATTTTTATTTTTTTTATTATTATTACAATTTTAAAAACTGTTTAAAATGGAAGAACGTCATTTGATGTGCTTTGGTAACTTATTAGAAATGGCTTTTGTATTCCTGTCAGAAAACAGGACATGAGACTGTTCACTTGAAACCGCAATGGTTTAAGAAAAACAATTGGTGATGAAACATCTTGCTATTTGGATCAATTAGGACCAATTGTGATGAAAGATATAAATAAAAACAACAGTGTTGATTTTTAGGAAGAGTGTCTTTCTTTGCTACAAGAAAATAAGAACGTTTGGAACAGAAAATATCAAATTCACTTCCATTTCTTTTGTTTACACATTCCTCTAGATTGTTCTTGTTTCCATTCTAGTAAAATTTAGTGCACAAGAGTTAGGAAATTGCAAATATTTCTTGAAAAAGCGATCTGTGCTTTGTTTTCAGAAACATCCCAATATTATTCTTTCTTATTGTTTTGTCCTGCTTTAGCAAAGTACAAGACACTTTCAGAAAATAGCTTTTGCTAACATTCGAGACATCATTAAATAATTGAAATTTATGAACTAAATTAAGTATTTCCAAGCTCAGAAAGAAATGGGATAAGTAATCTGAAAATTAACTAGTCAAAAATGTTATAACCGAGTAATTCATCTATACAAGCGCCACAAGGGTTTAGAAGTTTGAACTAATCAAACCTTCAGTAAAAGGTTTTTATAAATTTGATTGCAAAATACTAAACTGCTGCAAGTGCAGGAAACATGCTGGTACAAAACAGGCAGCCTGGAAGCTCATTATTTATATTCCCTTTGCCCCAAAATCAGATGTTAGGTGTTCTTAAAACATTCCAATGTTAATGCTTATCTAGAAGTGGTGTAACATCACACTCAAATGGAATGTCCTTCAACAATCTTAAGACCTTGCCCTCCTCCCAGTTATCCAGGAATGAGGAATAAACTCACCGATGTATAACTCCTGCACTTCATAAGTAAATGGGGTAAGTCTCTACATAGGAATTTCCGAAGGTAGTCAACGAAGATATCTAGCCAAGCTCTTTGAGAAGTACTTGAAATAAGGTTGGTTTTTTTTCTCATCGATAAAACCTTGTCAAAAATCAAATTACACCACAAGACTTGAAAGCTAAGGGCCAAGTTTTATTCTGTACTTGCCTCAGTCATGTCTTAATGATTCAAAAATTTATTTCTCCTCCACAGTTTTAAGAGTGTGAATATTATTGTTATTTGACTAGAACTTTCACGCCTTTTTATTGACAAAATGTTTTTAACATCCGACAGGCGCATATGATCGGAGCTGTTGATGCGACCTTAAAAAAATCCAATCATTTGAGAGCCGCAAATCTATAGCCAAGAAAAAACATTGAGTACTTTGGTAAACAATATTTGTAAATCCGTATCCCAAAGAAGGCTCCAAACGAATGAAATGGATGGAAATTACGCATACGAATAAAACATAAACAAAAGAAATGTTCGGTCTATGCCACAGACCATGCTCACTGAAGTACACAAATGAGATAAAAATACTTACATGGTGGCTCAGTTAATGTAACCAAAATGCAGAAGATACCAATTATACTAGGCCACGATACTCAATAACTCGCACTACCACACAGTCAGTTCGAGTGAACGAGATCAACGTGAACGTAACCTATACGCCCTGCCGCGCGCAAAACAATTGCTGCTGGTTGCAACCGGTAGCAACAAACCAAACCACGAGCGCCCGTCGCGTCGCAAGCTTTCGGCATTGCTACCAACATACAAGCGATGACTTGCAAGTCTACCACACTCAAAATCAATATGTGGATGTCGTGCAACGACACTTTATTGATAGATTGATTTGACTGACCTCTGGGTCGCAAATGTGAGATGTAGGAAGCAACACCCTCTTCGTTGGAGATTTCCTCTTCCTACAAAAACGTTTTTGTTTCGCACAGGTACAGAGATGGCAATGATAGGTTCTCGAAATTAGAAGTTAATTTTTCTCAAACATAAAGTTGTATTTTCACGTTATCAAAGTTGCATTCGATAGTGCAACTTTGGCAAGAGGGATTGGGGAGACAAAGTAAACTCTTTTTAGTTTCTCTGCTTTGTTTCCAGACTTGGGAGAAGTAAGACTATAGCACCCTCGAAAAAAAGACGATTTTTTTCTTTGATTTTTTTCTTTGAAGCTAGAAGTAGCAGAACATTTTATGGTTTAAGGACATAAGTTGTTTTGTACACCGTAATCTACAAATGATACCTTTATGGGCGTTGTTACATTTTTTGTGGTTACATCAATCGGTATCACAGTCCAGAAACCCTGAAAGTTCTGCTTCATTGTCAACCTATTTTTCACTTTTAAAACAATGTTTAACAATTAATGTTATTTTAAAAAATAGTAGTTTTTTGCGAAATGTCTCTGGAATCCTCTTATTATACTTTTGGGGGCATTCGCTCTTCGGGGTACTTAAGTTATTTAGAACGACCAGTTCATCCGATAGGGGAGACCTTGCACAATACGGCGCTATCAAGTTACAGCATTACACTCTACCTTCTTTAAAGTTTATAGAAGTATTTGTCGATAAAAAACAGGCGCGCCCAGAGAAAACAAGAGGTCCAGGGAGCCTCAAGTTCCGCGCCCTCTCCCACACTTATAAAGAATTCATTTTTCTATGCAACAGAAACAACTTACAGAGGTTAATTTCAATTCGAACTAATAAATTTTAATAAAAAATGGAGCCTTAATGGCATGGTCAGTTAGGACCTGGGGCATGTTGTCCCAGCTGCTTCTCCCACTTCTAGGCTCCCGTGATAAAACCACTTAAATTAAGTTTTTGAATTTTTAAATTAATAAATGCGGAGATTTTTGGATTAAGATTTGGAGGAATATTTGAAGGAGCATTTGCGGGAACATGTGGTGAACATGCGGGGGATCATAGGGGAACATTTTTTGTGTATATTCTAAAATACTTTTTACATAGATCACTTAAGGCCTAACATTCAAGCTAGATACTTATGAACTAATTTCATCTACTTTGCCTGTATGTTCGCACTTATTCTTGTAACCATTTTCATTTATTGATTCAGCTCCGAACAATATTTATACTGCGCATTCTAAGTTTGGCGACAGTTTTAAGTGCTTGAGAGGCTTCTCCCTCTTTTCCTTTTCCTTGTATATTTTAATACACTAATAAACACTAAGATTTACTATTTCCTCGACTGCTCGCATAGGCGCCAAATTGCAAAACACGTCAATATGCCGAAGGAGCTATACTTACACTTTAGGTCTTCGGCGAATTATTTAGTTCAATCCCGTATGTACGACAGACGACACTAATATTTAAATATGTGGTTTATTAAAGTATTGGAAATATGTTTATTTGAGAATTTCCCTCACTATTCAAGAAAGATTATTGTCAAATTGCCGCCTTGCGAAAGATGAGGCGTCAAAAATCGTTACACTAGGCTGTGACACTGTCAGGTTGTTCAACGTCCAAAGGAGCCGCTGAGACCGCAAAGGAGTTGCTAGAGACCGCAAAGTGATGATGGCTTTTTAGATTTTACTATTATCAGGTACTTTAAAACTTGATTATAATGAGGAGTGAATATTGTACTGTAGTTTCAAAGTTACAAAAATGGCACAAATGCAAAATTGCAGTGTTCTGAGAACAGGACTTATTTCTATTCAATAATGATTTAGATCAATACCAATATCACTGCGAAAATCAGAATTCCAACGTTGCTTCTGCATCAGAATCGCTTACAACACCTCCAACAAAACATCTCTGCCGTCATCTCGAAAGAGGAAAAGGAGACTGTTGCCTTCTAATCTAATGACTTGGAAAATGGAAAACAAGAGACGGTGAATGATCCATCGAAAACATAATTCGAAAACTACACAACTCTTCAGTACAGTAAGTCGCAGAGACAACAAATACATTCATTTTTCATAATTTATTTTTCTCTTGTTACAAATATAACACGTTCAATCTTTTAGAATTTCGTTGGTCAGCCACAAAAGCTTTGTGTTCTCTCTCTCCTGTGCCTCATGTCTGTCCTAGCGACTCCGATCCCACAGGTCTACCCTTGATTTCGGTACTTTTGAATAAATGTGAATAGAAATAATAATAACAATATAATGATAATAATAATAGTAATAATAAACAAAAATTACACTAGATGACTGCGGCTACATACCTAAAAAGTACCAAGTAATTCAAAAATATTAATTTACTTTAAGTTTTGAAATAAAAGTTTCCCAAATGTTACCAGTACTTGTAGCTCGCGTCATGAAAATTCAAGTCTCCCCCCTCATCGCATCGCCTCTCTCCCTGAAGCGTTGCCGTGGGAGACGCCAGATCTGTGCTGGTTCTGCGGTCTCCAATGTGCTGGTTCTGCGGTCGAGTCAATGGTCCGATTTTCGATCTGTAAACGGTATTTGACTTTTTAAATTAGAGTTTACGCCACAAATCCCTTTTTCCAGAAATCTGGCAAAAACGCGAATTTGAAATAGGCGCCCGAACTACCGAGAAAAAAAGTTTAAAAATGTGGGCTTATAACGAGATGGCTACATCTGAATTCAACGCCGTGTCCATCATGCAAATCGGATGAATAGGAGCGACGTAAAGTGAATTTTGGGAAAACACCTCGCCCGCCTTCCCTTTTCACCCGTTGCCTCATCATCTCGTCGAGGGCCCTCTTCGGCGCAGCGGCCGGGTCAGCCCTGGCGGCGTGCGGCTAGCCCCCGCAGAGGAGGCTAGAATTACGAGGCAGGCAAGCCAGGCAGTCGGTTTATGCTTTCATTTTGTATCTCAATCTATTTGTTTGAGGCTGATTTCAAAAAGTAAATTGAATTAATTGAGTAAATATCACCAATATTTCATCGCCTCACAAAGAATTCAATCAAGATTTCACTCAAAGTTTGAAAAAATATTTTAGCTGTTTTTGAATAATTCTGTTTTTTAGTATTTTTTGTGAAGCACATATTTCACGTAATATTATACAAAAACGACTAAAATTTTCAAAGAAATGTGCATGACGTCAAGGAAAGAACTAATTAGGGAAAACAAATTTCATTTGAGGAAAACTCTCTATCTTCAATACTGTAGTTGTGAGGAGACGCCGAGAAAAATTCAAATTTTTGTAACCTTCAAAAAAATCAAAGTTAACAGTAAACATCGGATCTATGCCACCTTGAGAACATATTTCAAACTATTCTTACACAAATCCGCAGAAAAAACTGGAGCCATTTTTAAGAAAATATAAAAGATGCCATTGGGGCGTCATTTAAAGTATTCCCAAATTTAAAACAATATTTTTCGAACTCGTAAAGCTTTGAGCCTGGCCAGAAGGACCAGTGAATATTCACTTTCGATAAAATTCTAGGAATACTTGAGGTTTCAGCCCTAGTGTTGTTTACAGATGGGCAGACTGACGGTCAGACATTTTGGGAGAAAGAAAAGAAAAGGGGAAAAGAGAGAGAGAGAGAGTGTGAGAGAGTGCGAGAGAGTGCTAGAGAGTGTGAGAGAGTGCGAGAGAGCGCGAGAGAGCGCGAGAGCGAGCGAGAGAGAACGCGAGAGAGAAAGCGAGAGAGCGTGAGAGAGAGCGAGAGAGAGCGAGAGAGAGCGAGAACGAGAGAGCGAAAGCGAGCGAGAGAGAGAGAGATAGCGAGAGAGAGCGAGAGCGCGCGAGAGCGAGAGAGCGAGAGCGAGAGCGAAAGCGAGAGCGAGAGAGAGAGAGAGAGAGAGAGAGAGAGAGAGAGAGAGAGAGAGAGAGAAACACGTTATCGGTATCAATGGGCCCCTAAACATGCATTTCGCGGAAATCGATTTTCCGCATCATTATATAACGTTCTCTATATTACATATATTACTCAGTATATAGGTACGTATACGAGAATGTATAACCAATGTTATGATGCGAAAAATAGCGAAAGCATTATCTAATATATCTCCGCCACTAGAGAACCGCCTGCTTGCCTGCCTCGCTCCCAGCGAAATATATGCTCTCTTATATGCTTCCGTGCCCGCCGGAGCCGGCGCCCCCACGCGCGGCATCGGCGCGGCATGGGGGAGAGGAGCATTGTATTTTGACAAATTTCACATTAAGAGGCGCTTATTCAGTCGGTTTGGACGATTGATTCGGCGTTGGATTCAGGAAGCACTTCGTCATAGCGCTATAAGCCCACTTTTATAAATTTCTTGCCAAAACTATTCCAAAAAAAATCTAAAACTCATATTTAATTTCTTTAAAGAGGCTTTGTAGCGTAAATTTTATATTAATACAAATCCTATGTCATTTACTGATTGGAAATCGAACCACTTGCTCAAACGGTATTAGTGAAGTAATTTGGCTTATTTTGGTGCTGCTACGTGGAGGCGACAAATTAGTGTCGGTACATTTAGCCTTGAAAGGACCGCCACAAGAACGCAGCAGGAGACGGCGGCGCCCCCGAAAATGCGGGCACGGCACACACGAGGTCGCCAGAGACACGCCCATGGTCTTATAGTATGGCAATGGCTAGTAGTATGGTATGGTTTATAGACTGGCAATGAACGATTCGTTTTGAAGCCAATCAATTGCGCCTGTCGCTATATTTTGTCACTACAATTTCACTCATGGGCATATATTGCTATATAAGTCAATGAGCTCTTAAAAAATCTATAAAAATAAATTTATGACATACAACTGTTAAGATATACTGCAATATTAAACAGAAAATATTTTTAGGGAAATAAAGCAATTTATATCAATGTCTGAAATCACTTTTATAGCTT